CGGTTTCCACGCCCTAACCGTGTTCCCTTCTCCTTTTGGTGCTCAGGCCCTTGAGCTTGCCCTCTAAAACTACATAGAGCTGGAGACCCTTGTGCAGCGGGAGACGACGTCAAAGACCACCGAAGAGGAGCTTATTGCTCTTCACGCCGTCCGGGATGAGCTCTCCTCGGACTTGGAGGTCGAGAAAGCCAAGGTGCAGTCCCTTGGGGAGAAGATCGCCACAGAGAAGGCCGATAGCTTCAAGGAGGGTTTTCAGCAGGGGAGCTCCAAGGCAGTTGAGGCATACCTCTCATCTCCCGAGTTCCAGCAGCGGCAGAGGGAAGCAACTTCCAAGGTGGTCAGGGAATTCATGGCCTCCGGGGAGTTCTACCGTTTGGTCGACACCAAAATGGAGTCGTTCAAGACGTCTCAGGAGCTCAAGGACCTGAACGATGGACAGGTGGAGTGGTTCAAATCCTCAGAGGCCTTCGAGGAGCTTGTTAACCAGAGGCTCGATGCCTACTAGGCCTCCGTTGAGTTTGACGAACTCTAGCTGTCCTTGATGCAGTCTGATGGGGAGCAAATCCTCGACCGCTTCCAGAGGAAACGTCTGGACGTCAACCTATCCTTCCTTGATTACTCTGACAACGAGGACGTGGAGGTGGTCGATTTGGACCAGGAAACTAAGGACGCTGGGCAGGAACCAGGAGGCGACGGCGAACAGGCACTGGGAGACGCCAGTGAGCAGGCACCGGGGGATGGTGGCGAGCGGGCACTAGAGGATGGTGGCGAGCAGTGAGGGGTTTCCTCAACTTTTGTTGCTTCTATTTCCTTTTTTTTTGAAAGGCCGTGAGGCCAAGACTATTCGTTGGTTTGTAACGACCATAAGGTCGAGACCTATATTATTCTTATTTCTTTTTATACATGCTCATGCTTGCCTATTTTGCGTATTTATACTGTAGATTAGCTATTTTGTGAAGATTTTGTGACGAATTTTGGTTAAGTATGGTTGAGCCAGAGATCGCCACCTTAACAGGGTTTTTTTTTTGGGGAGGGGGGGGGCCTATTGTCGGCCTTGTTGAACCAGAGCTCGCCACCTTAATAGGGGTTTTTTTTGGGGGGGGCTATTGTCGGCCTTGTTGCCTTATTACCCCCTCGTCAATTGTTGCCTTATTACCCCCTCGTAAAAAAAAAAGCCTTAGGCTTGTCTTTGATGCGCCGCGGTCGACGTATTGACAATTGTTTAGGTCGACGTATCGACAATTTTTAGCCGACGTATCGACATTTTTATTTGGTCGACGTATCATGGTCGATGTATCGACAATTGTTTGGGTCAACGTATCAACATTTTTTAGCTTACGTATCGACAGTTTTATTTGGTCGACGTATCGACTTATCGTGGTCGACGTATTGACAATTGTTTGGGTCGACGTATCAACAATTTTTAGCTCGACGTATCGACGTAGCTAGTAGATGGTTGAGCCTATATAACAAAGTCGGTCGTGACGCAAAATAGAGTTCACTAAGTAGACAATGCAATTTGCTTTTTATTTATGTAGAATTTACAAGTCGACCTTTCAACTTGCGATGAGGGAAAACGAAATAGGAAACATGTAAAAAGTACTAAGTTTAACCTTTTTGGTCGACGTTCCTACACAATTATTGGTAGTAGATCTTCAGCTGGTCTGCATTCCAAGTGTGTTTGAGTCTCGACCATCAAGCTCTGCAAGTCGATACGACCCGTTGGCCACGACCTCCTTTATTCTGTAGGGTCATTCCCAAGTCGAGCATAAGGCACCAGAGTTCTTGGGCTTGGTATTTGGGGTTACCACACGTAAGACTAGGTCTCCAACCCCGAAGCGCTTTCGTTTGACCTTTTTGTTGTAGTAGTACCTAGCAATTCTGACTTGGTACGTGGTGAGTCTTAGCTGAGCATCCGTGCGTCTTTCTTCTAGAAGGTCGAGCTCCAAGCCCATTAGCTCGGCGTTCCTCTCCTCCTGATACCGAGCTACTCGGCTAGTCAGAATGGATTCCTCGACTGGAAGGACTACCTCTGCCCCGTAGGCCATCGAGAAGGGAGTTTCCCCAGTGGTAGTCCTACTTGTCGTCTGGTAGGCCCACAAGACTTTCGGCAACTCATCTGCCCACTTTCCTTTGTAGCTATCGAGGCGTCGCTTAAGCGTGACCTTTATGATTCTGTTGACGGCCTCGACCTGCCCGTTGGACTATGGGTACATAACAGAGGAAAAATTCTTATGAATTCCCAATAGTTCACAAAACTGGTTGGTGTTGTCATTGTTAAATTGTCTCCCGTTATCAGACACGAAGGAGTGTGGTACACCAAACCTGCAAACTATGTTGTTCCATATGAAGTTGGTACATTTTTCCTCTGAGATAGTTGTCAATGGCTCGGCTTCCATCCACTTGGTAAAGTAGTCGATGGCCACAATGGTGAACTTATATCCCCCAGGGTTTTGTGTAGTGGACCAATAAGGTAAATCCCTCATTTAGCAAAAGGCCAGGGAGAGACTATCGACGTTAAGTCCTCTGAATGTAGTCGAGGGGTAGGGGCATACCTTTAGCAACTTTCGCACCTCTTCGCATACTCAGCTGCATCCTTTTTTAGCTTAGGCCAGTAGTACCCCTGCCGTAGTATTTTGTAGGCTAGGGACTGCCCCTGTGTGGTTTCCACATATCCCGCCATGTACTTCTGAGAGCACCTTCTTTGCCTCTTCTTCGCCGAGGCACTTGAGCAAGGGCATCGAGTAGCCCCTCTGATAAAGAGTATCGTCGTGCATTGTGTATCTCGACGTTTGATATCTCATCCTCTTTGCGAGCTGTTTATCTTCCGGGAGCTCATCGTCGACTAAATATTTGATAATATGGTCCATCCAACTCCACTGGAGATTCACTGGCATGACTTTTGGCCTTCCCTCGGTGGTAGGGACCTTTAAAACTTCCACGGGCACTATCTTTAACAGTTCAGCATCCTTTGACGTGGCTAATAGCGTCGGTGTTGCTATTCTCCGCTCTTGGCACCTGCTGTATGTCATAGGCTGTGAATGTTTCTAAGGCTTCTTTGACCTTCTTGAGGTACGCGGCCATTTTCTCATCCCGGGTCTGATATTGGCCCTTCACTTGATTCACAACCAGCTGCGAATCACTGAAAATGTCTATGTTTCCCACCTTTAAGTGCTCTGCTAACCGGAGCCCAGCCAGCAACGCCTCATATTCAGCTTCGTTATTAGACGCATGAAATTCAAACCTGATGGCCGAGGTTATCTTGTGTCCCTCAGGCGTATGCAATACCAGTCCTGCTCCACTGCCGTTGTCATTAGAGCTCCCATCGACGTAGAGCTTCCACCGTTGCGGCGCATTAGCCTCCTCTACTCCATCTGGAAACCCTGTGAACTCTGCCACAAAGTCAGCCAGGGCTTGGCCCTTGATGGCGGTCCGTGGCTTGTAGTCGATATCGAATTGGCTAAGCTCTATGCACGATTTAAGCAGTCGACCAGAAGTGGCGGGCTTTTGTAGTACTTGCCTGAGAGGATGATTTGTCAAGACCTGAATACTATGGGCCTGGAAGTAGTGGCGTAACTTCCTCGATGTCACAACCAGGGCAAGGGCGAGCTTTTCCATATGGGGATATCTCGTCTCCGCGTCGAGGAGGCGCTTGCTGTTGTAATACACCGGCAGTTGCATCTTCTTCTCTTCGCGGATCAACACCGAACTAACGGCGTATTCTGAGACCGCCAGATACAGGCTCAGCACTTCTCCGGCTGCCGGTTTGGACAGCAGAGGCGGTTTCCCAAGGTGTTCCTTCAATTGTTGGAATGCATGTTCACACTCCTCCGTCCATTGGAACGACTTGCTTCCTCTCATGGTATCGAAAATGGTATGCACTTGTCCGTGGACCTCGAGATAAATCTATTAAGTGCAGCCACATAACCCATCAGCTTTTGAACCTCCTTAGGCTTCCTTGGCGACTTCATGTCGAGGAGTGCCTGTATCTTTTCCGGGTTGGCCTCAATTCCTCGACCACACACCATAAAGCCCAAGAATTTTCCTCACCCGACGTCGAACGCGCACTTGTGGGGGTTTAACTTCATCTTGTACATCCTGAAGACGTCGAACATTCCCTTGAGATCCCCCACATGGTCCTCATTTTTCTTGCTCTTCACCAGCATATCATCCATATACACCTCTATTGACTTTCCCAATTGTTCTGCGAACATCTTATTGACGAGGCGTTGATAGGTTGCTCCCACGTTTTTGAGACCGAAGGGCATGACTTTGTAGTAGTAAAGGCCCCTGTCGGTAACGAATGCCATATGTTCCTCGTCGCGGTCGAACATTGGTATCTGGTTGTACCCAGAGTATGCGTCCATGAAGCTCAGGAGTTCGTGCCCCGTGGTAGCGTCGACCAGCTGATCTATCCTTGGCAGCGGGAAGCTGTCCTTGGGACAGGCTTTGTTCAAGTTGCTGAAGTCGACACATGTTCTCCAGCTCCCGTTGGGCTTCAGTACCAATACGGGGTTCGATACCCATTCGGGATATAGGACTTCTCGAATGAAGCCATTCCTAATTAGTTTGTCGACCTCTTCTCGTAGGGCCTCGTACCGCTCGGTGTTCATGGGTCGACGCTTTTACCTCTTGGGTGTACACTTCTCGTCGATGTTCAGCCTGTGGCACATGATATCAGGGCTTATCCCTTCCATGTCTTCGTGAGTCCAGGCAAACACGTCGAGGTTGTCCCTGAGGAACTCGACCAATCCTTCCCGGCTCTATTCTTTAAGCTTCAAGCCCACCCTCAGCCTTCTTGTAGGTTCTTTCTCGTCAATAGGGACCTCGATCAATTCCTTGACCGGTCCTGTTCCTGTCTCTTCTCCTGGGAGCCTCGGGTCTAAATCGAATTCTCCTGCCCCGGTCGCCACCATTCTCATTTCTCTCCTTACCTGCGTCAGCTCGGTGTAGTGGCGGACCGTCTCCAAGTATGTGAGCCTCGACTCGTACTGGTTTCCTCAGACTTTTCTGATCCCGGTGGGAGTCGAAAACTTCATCATCTGGTGATAGATTGACATAACCGCCTTTAATGACCTCAAGGTTGGGCGCCCTATGACCGCGTTGTATTGGTCACCTCCCTTCACCACCAAGAACTTTGACATTATAGTCGAGGTCTGTGATCGGTCTCCAATGGTCATAGGTAGCTCTATCACCCCTTCTGGGATGACACTGTCCTCGGTGAAGCCATATAGAGGCTGTGCGTTGTTTTGCAGCCTCACGCGGGGAATCCCCATCTTGTCGAGGCAGCTGGAGTACAAGATGTCCACCGAACTACCATTGTGGACCAGGATACGGCAAACTGTGTGGTTACCGATCATGGCCTCCACGACTAGAGCGTCGCTTTGGGGGAAATGCACCCCATTCACATCGGCCTCCAAGAACTTGATCTCGGCCTCCTCGTATCGCGCTGCCTTGGCCTCTCTTCCGGAGACGTTCATGACCCTCCGGTTGAACTTGTCCCTCGCCTCTTGCACGTAATCCTTTTGTGCACGGTGAGAGGTGCCACCGAGGTATGGCCCTCCGAAAATCGTTCTTATAACACCGACGGATTCGGGCGGATTGTCATGCCTCTGATCCTCCCGTCGGTCATTGTTGCATCGATTATTGTTGTTCTGACAGTCGGCTCGGTACTCACTGAGCCTCCCTTCTCGGATCAATCTCTCGATCCCGTCCTTCAGGTCATAGCATTCGGCTATGGTGTGCCCACTCTCGCTATGAAACCTACAATATTTGTTTTGGTTTCTCAGCATCGGGTCAGACTTCAGTGGCGGCAATCGACGCAGGACTTGGAGGTGACTAATCTCGTGATAGACATCCTCGATCCCCATGGTTAAGGGGGTGTAGGCGTCATACTTTTACGGCTTTGGTCGCTTATTATCCCCCTGGCTCATCGAGGCATTGCCACCCCTATTGTTTGGAGCCGGGTTGTACCTCTGCTCGGCTTGCACCTGATGATTACCTCGGTGCTTCTTATTGTTGTTTTGATTGCTCGTCTGCCCTACCTCTTCCTTGGCAGGGGCTACCGCTTTGTTCTTTAAGCCCTTCTTAGCCTCCTTGGCATTGATGAATCCCTGCGCCCTTGTCAGTAATTCCTGGTAGGTGTGGGGTGGCTTCCGATTGAGGTCTGTACTGTAGAGGATGTCCTTCTTCATGCTCGACAGTGCCCCCATTAAGGCTACCTCATCAGAGATTCCCTCAGTAGTGGCCACCTGTTCCCCAAATCGGGCTATCCAGTCCTTTAGGGATTCATGAGGCCCCTGGTACACCCTTGACAGGTTTTGTTTAGGTGGGATGTATTTTTTGACGCCTATGAACTGAGTCAGGAAGGCGTTCTTTAAATCGTCCTAGCTAGTAATATAATTTGGCTTCAGGGACCTGAACCATCTCCTGGCAGAATCAGAAAGATGATTCCTGAAGGCCCGACACATAACCTCCTTGGGGTAACCATGCAAGACCATGTGCCCTGTGTAAACTTCTAAGTGATCATCCGGATCACTCCTTCTGTCATACAGGGGAATGGGGGCGGTTTGTACTTGTTGGGCAATGGTACCCGGATAATGCTTTCTATAAATGGGTGGTCATAGGATGTGTACATCTTGACGTCGACGTTTACAGCTTCGGCCACCTTTCCCACGACATGCTCAAAGTTGTTCAATCGACTCCCTATTTGCTTTTCTAGCCTGGCCATCTTTTCAGCCAGGGCTTTGTTTTCGGCCGTGAGCTCTTCCTCCCTAGTCTGCTGAACGCCTTTGTCACGTCGAGCGTTTAGCTTTGTCTTGAGTTCTCTCCCGCACGCAGACGAGGATTCCACTGGGACAACATTCCTCCTGTTTGCGTCCTGCTGCGGTCGAGGGGGCACGTCCCTGTTATTCACAGCTTGAGCCACAGCCTGCTCCAGTGTTCTCCTCCTTGCCTCCGGTTATTTGCTCCCCACAAGTCTGTTCTACCTGGTCGGGCGGGGATTGTTGGCTCCACTGTCACCGACTTCTTCAGCGTCACCGCGTTGATCACCAATCTCTTGGTTCCCCGCAGCGGCGTTCACCGGTGTCATCGGCGCGTCCTCCAAGGGTGGCATCGGGTTCTGCCCTTGATCCCACCCGGCAAAGGTCGTAGCCATCCTTTCCACGGTGACAGCGAGCGTTTCGACCTACTTTTGAAGCTGGTCAATATGGTCAGGGGATTTCTAGCGGCCGTTAAGGGTGGATTCGTTGAAATCCCTGTGACGGTAGGAGTTTGGTCAGCCTGGCTTTTCTGGTTGGCCGTCTTTTCGCGAGTATTCCTGGGCGGCATGGTTCCTGTTTCTATTTTTTTTAAAAAAACTGGATTAGATTTTTGGGTTTGGGGACCCTCCTTCTAGCGCCAATTGTTGACGGTGTTTTTCTAAAAACTCGTAATTACCTCTACGGGAATTCTCACAGTAACACTCACGGGTTAATTAGAGATTAAAGCAATGAAATAATGTAAATAAGACAAAGAATTATAGTGGTTCGGTAAGGTTTCTTGGTCTAGTCCACTTGTGGATGTTGGTCTCCGAATCGAATTCGGATGCGGAAGCGTGGGGGGAGGCGGATCATGTATAACAAAAAATTTCATAAAACCTTTGAAATACTCTATAGATTATATTAATTTATGCACGATTAAATTAATCTCATTAATTTATTTATTAAGAACTCAATTAGGAAAATACCTGGAGGCCGACTCAGTTGATCACTTGAGTTCTTTGACCTCGAACAATCATTGCTCCAAAGCTTTATGTTTAGAAAATCAATGTCTTCCACGTCAATTCTTAGAATCCACGAAGACGTGTGTGTGGGCACACATGAGACAAAATGGGTTAGAATAAGCACTCGAATTTCCACAAACACCAACGCATGCACGATGTGAAATTTTTTAGAAATTTTTTTTTCCTTCCCTTGCTCTAAGAGAATTTCGGCCACCCTATTCAAATTAGGACAAAAATTGTTTTGAAAAATTATCTCGCGCAATTTTCTATCATTCTCTTATTTATAGAGTAGAAGTCAAACTTCTAGAAGGAACCCAATCTCTATCTCTAAGATAAAACTTGTTAATTATCTCCTAATTTAAATTTGGAACAAAATCTCATCTTCTTTATCCTTAATGTGGCCGGCCAAGATAGGGGATTTTATCCCTGTATAGGCGCCAATATCAGATAGGGATTATCCTTGTGTAGGCGCTAATCATCAGATAGGGAAAGAAGAGAAAATCATCATTTATCCTGCAATCCAATTTTGACTCAAATTCTAATTCTAATTTAAGTCAAACTTAAATTAATATGAATTTTAAATTGAATAACTTATCAAATAAGTTTAAATGGATAAATCTAGATGTGTCTAAATTCAAATTTAAATAATCACATTATTTAAATAATAATTAATTCTCAGTTAATTATTTTTTAGTATTTAATTTTAGAATTATGTAATTCTAAAATTCTAATTTTGCCCTTTATGTCTGGTAGAATTACTAGGACGACGCGGGGACTAATGGACTTATAATCCCAAGCTCTAATAAAATTAATAATTAATTAAACACTTTAATTAATTAATTATATTAATTTCAATAGTTACTCCACTATAAACTTGGAATTGCACTCTCAAAATTATAGACATAAATTACTTCTAAACTGTGAAGTGTCCATTTGATATAGTCATTGCATATAGATCGATCCTCCATAAATAATTCATAATTAGAGCAAGGTAAAATCCGTTAACCTCTCTAATTACATCTTTATCCTTGAGTACCATTAATTCTCTAATGGACAGTTATTCATAAAACACATTCATGAATAAGAGCTCCTACTGGTCCAAGTACCGAATCAACCCTCAAGAGAATTATTTATCTACTTCTTTCTTAAGAAGGAATGGATTCCATCTCGTGTAATAACATTCCCGGCTACCTACTTCATCATGTCTCCAAAATACAAGGAATAGGATTCAGGATCTCAGAATCCATACCGAGTAAATCAAAAGACACAAATCCATAAATAGGAGTCTGTTAAGAACTCAAGATTAAGATCATTCTATATATGACCATCGATAGACTCAATTAGAATTTCTATACTTAACGAAAATTATTAGAAATTCATATTGTGTCTGTGTCCTTATTCCACATAATCTCATTATGCGAAATACACTCATTCAATATCTCACCATATTAACAGTGCGGATAACACCGTTCCATTCTAAATGGGAATGACATGTATTAATAATGTTTTAATTAAAAATTTTAAACTTTAATTAAATTCATTATAAACATTATTTTTTTATTATTATCTTTAAAAATTATCCTCTCGTATATAACACTTTTATACAATGTTTAAGGTTACATAAATAATTATGAAATTTTCATTGATATTCATAAAATATTCACAAATATATACACATAAAATGATGAATAAACTCTTTTATTAAATAAATAATAAATATCCTATTATATCTTATGCTTCTAGGACACCATTCCTAACAGTGGATGCACCACTCTTTCTGAGATTACAAGTTCTTCCTTCTACAATGGAATAGTGCGTAACCCTTCAATGGGTCTCTTTGGCTTTATTTATAGGCCTTTACATATAATGATCTCATCTGTATTTCCTGAGGGAGCAATCTTCTCTCCCGAGATTTAGGGGTGGCGTAGGTGCATTTTCATGATGACAATCTCAGGAAATCAGGCCAACCTCTCTTACCGACTACCTGATTTCCTGGTTGCGATAGTAGCAGTTGGCACAGTGTATCCTTCCCTGAGTTGACAAGATTGTTGATGGATTTGACTAGACATGTTGCCTCGACGTAATGGCCACCACAAGTCGAGTCATGGTGCTCGACGTCCATCGCCCCGAATGGGCTCTCGATGTCCAAATGGCACTTTAGCTACAGTGGTTCCCTTGACGCCAGCGACCGATTCTCAACGGGGAGTCCTCGGCACTTGTCGTTCGAGGGAATGGTCGATTGCTCGACCATGGTGTAACAGAAAGCAAAACAAATTACCTTTTGTACTTTAGCTTCATTTGTGAGAGGGCCCTATGAGCAAAGTAATTATATAGGTTAATAATATAATAATGGATCTTAAATGGCTGCCTATTGAAGGACAAAACGAGAACAAGTCATAGCCTAGAAGAAAGATAAGTTGGAAAAGCATATGCTCAAATCCTGGATTTAGCAAGCATATCCATAATTTTACCACGAGAATTTGTATTTTTTTTTCAAGTGATTCTAATTTGGTAAATCTAGGTTTGTACGTAGATTTACCGTGTACAATGATGGTGAGAGATAAGGAAGAGAGAGAGTGGTAGAGGTAGTGTAACACCCTGAAGAATTAATTGAGATTAATTAAGATAATTGAGGTTATTAGTGTGCCTAATCTGGATTATTAATTGAGTTTAATTAATAAATGTTTCTGACACGTGTGAGTTTAAATAGTTCTAAGGTATTTAAATTATTCTCAGTAATTTATTTTAAACTAGAAGTGTGTATGGGCGTATTTCTGGACTGCTTTTAAAAATATTGTACACATGTCTTTTCTTTTTCTTTTTCCTTTTCTTTTCTTTCCTTCCTTTCTCTTTCCTTTCCCGTGCACTCTCTCTCTCTCTCTCCTTCACTCTCACTCTCTTTCTCTCTCACTCCCATTTTGTGTCCCAAATCAAACAGATTTTGAGCCAAAGACGAATTTCAAAGTGTTTTCAACATCAAGAGAATGATTCGAGGTAAGATTACTGAAAGAACCTCTCTTGAATCTCAAGTTTTTAGATTTCAAAACTTATTTTGGTTCAAACCGGATTTTGATGGTTTTTGAGTAAAACTAAAGTAGAAATTGG